GGCTATGTCAGCAGATGCAGAGCAGGCTAGCCTGCATAAACTGACATAAATGCTACTTTGTCAGACTGGGTCATGTGTGCCAGGTATGTAATGCCAGGTACTGGAGATACAAATTGTATAAAGGACAGCAGCTGGTAAGCTTCAAGTTGGTGTAGCCTCACTGCAAGGCCTCATGGGCTGGGAGAGGGGTGCAAAGGAAAACCCATATGAGCAGATTAGAGACCCAGTGGTGCAGCCCCGGGCAGACGCTCCACACTGCTTGACTGCAGCAGACAAGGTTGTTCCGCCATGCTAAAGCCACAATTGGAGTAGCTGCACCCACTCCCCCCCTGAGCAGTCTCCTGTTCCCTCCTTTGTACTAGTTGCTTGCGGTCCACATAAAAGCCCTAGATGGGCCAGTTCCGGCCCCCAGGCTTTATGTTTGACACCCCTGGTCTAGTGGAAGCCTTTTGCAATGCAGTTTTCCAGGATGCTTTATTGTTAAATTTCCTTCAAAGTGTCATCACATCAGCTAAATAGAAGTACCCTAAGAAAGAAAGTGTCATGGAAAAAATATACATCATAAACTATTCTCCTGTATTAGAAATCTAGGCTAGTCCTGACAAATCTGCTTCTCAGGATTGCCACACAAACTGTATAGCAAATCTCACACCAGAAGGAAAACGTTATTCCTCACCTTACGTAGGTTAATTGAAACAACAAGCAAAATGTTGTGTCGGACACGGAAATGACCTCTTTCAACCCCTCTGCAGTTTAGAGTTGCGGGGATAAAATTGTACTGAATTTTCAATTTTAGACCATTGGTCCATCAAGGTTAGTAGTGTCTGTTCAGACTGGCAGTGGCTCTTCAGGATCTCACATGACCTACTAACCAATCCTTTTAACTGGAGATGCCAAGGATTGAACCTGGGACCTTCTGTATGCAAAGCAGAAGTGTTGACACTGAGCCACAGTCCCACATGGAATACAGCCTCAGGATCTCACATCACCTACTACCCGATCCTTTTAACTGGAGATGCCGGGGATTGAACCTGGGACCTTCTGTATGCAAAGCTCTGACACTGAGCCACAGTCCCACATGGAATACAGCCTCAGGAAGAAACCTGTGTCTGAGTAGGCTCGTACCTGAAGAAGTCAAATAAGTCTCATTCCCTATTACGTTGGGACACAGAAAGCTGCACCAGAGCCAGGCAGTCTTGGCCAAGCAGAATTCCTACATGACCTGGAAGCTTTTATAATCCTTCTGGATCAGGGAAGTGTTGTGGAATTAGGGCTGGATTGAGCCTCAGTCCTCTGGTACACCTATGATACTTTAATTTCTATAGTAATTAGCTTCTATAGTTGAAACTTTGGTTCTGTTCCCAGGAGGCTTCAGGACTCTGCTAAGTGCTGTGGCCTTCAGGATATCACTGTACATGACTTTGCCTCACATGACTTTTGCCTTCTGGGAATGTTTATGCCATGCAGTAGTCAGGAGTCACTACCAAATTCTAAATAGATAAAGTGTCTGCGATTATCTACCTTGACTCTCTGAGTCAACCTAGCTTAACACAGCTTTCCTTGACTTTCCTGGCCCCAGAGATAGAAAGAAAGGGGCTGACTTTGTTGTATACTTCAAATGCTCATCACAGACTTGACTGACAGTTACATTAGCTTCAGTGGGTGAAAGAGGGTACTTAATGTCTGAATTAGTTTGGTTCGTGGTTGTTCTGATCAACCACCCTGCTGTTATGGGTCTTGGCAGAATAGCCAAGGATATCTTTTAGAGAACTTTAAGTGCACTATTTATGTATTGGGGTTGTGTTGAAATGTTCTGTGTTGAATACGGAAATACTACAAAAAATGTTTTCTGACTTAAGAGTGTATAATAGAATAAATAGAGTTTTGGTTTAGAACCTCTCTCTGTCTCTCTCTCTCTCTCTCTGCAATTGGGAAGCCAGCTTCTCTCCCTCCCCAAAATGAACACAGTGGGAATGGGAGTGCATGAAAAGGTTCCCACACCCCTCATTTCCCCAACATCCTGCATCACAATGATCTAGCCACACTGGTCTTCCCATGGCATGGGTACTCTGCTGAGCATGAGTTTTCCACTTCCATGGAAAAGACCCATATGATCAGCCTGCCTATATGGCTGAGTTGTCAAAATGTAGGCCCCAGTTGTATGGGATGGACAATTGAATTATCAGCCGCCACACAGCTGAGAAAATAGATATGTTTTAAATGCAATCCACAGCCTTGGAGGCAGTGTAGTGTCCAGGAAAGTTGTTTTGTCTTCCACCAGAACTTGCAGCCCCTCTTTGGGTTTCGATCCCTTTTAAACTAGTTGATTAGGATACTTCCGTGCCTTTCTGGGGCCTAGAGGGTGTTCTGAGAATAGAGTCAGTGGATGTTTTAGTTAATTGATTAAAACTTGTATCCCTCCATTTGGCTCAAGGAGTCCCTCATAGTTGCTTACAAGCTAAAACACGATTTCTGTAGAACAATAAAAACAAGAATAATGTGGCCCAGGGGCCAACAAGATACAAGCTAAGCCAAAATTCTATTACTAAGTCATCTTTAAAAAATTCAAATCAAGGAATTTACAGTTTCTTATATGAGAATTTTTTGTGGCTTTCTGTTTAGATACTTTTCATATGAATTATGCTGAGGGATTTCACCTGGAGATATTCCTGAATCACCAAACAGCACAGGCACTTAGATTTTTAAAAAAACTTCTGCAGTCTTAGGACTAAACTTTTTGTATTGCCTAAATAATCTATATGTCTTTTCTAGGTGTGAATGAATGTGCACTCAACAACGGTGGTTGCTCCCACATATGCAAAGACCTGAAAATTGGCTATGAATGTGAATGTCCTCCTGGATACAAGCTCCTGGACAAGAAAACATGTGGAGGTAATTTGCATGGGAAGGGCAGTTTCTTGTGTTTCATTGTTAGACACACACAAGAAAGGGGACCCACGGAAATCGCGGGGGGGGGAGAAGTGGGGGAGCTCCATGCAGAGCAGGCGGAGGAGGCCTCAAGGTTCCCCCCCGCTCCGATGCGAGGTCGGGCAGCGCGCAGCCACCCGGGCCTTGCTGATCCCCCCCACCCGATGCGAGGTCTGGGCGGCTGCGCCCGGCCTCGCATCGGAGCAGGGGGGGAATCACTGAGGCCCGGGCGTGGGGTTTTTTAGCCAAAAAAAAGAAGAAGGCCGCCCGCCTCTCATACTATGCGAGGTGCCTGACAGGACCGAGGACTGTGGTGGGCGGGTAGGTGAAGAGATGGGGTGGCTCTGTATGTCAGAGAGGGTATACAGTCCAGTAAGATTGAGAGGGTAAGAGAATTGGATTCACTTCTGGAAATGCTAAGGGTTGAAATAGTGGGCCCAAAAGGAAGCTTAACACTGGGAGCTGGTTATTTCCCACCAGATCAAAAGATAGAGGAGGATTATAAAATGACAAGAGGGGGACCTGCGATACTCGCGGGGGGGAGAAGAGCCCCGTCTCCTCCACCCCCCCGGCCCAGCCGGCTCCGAGGCGGCAGTGGCAGCGGCGAGGCTGGCGGCATAGCGTTTCCTGCGCATGCGCAGGAAACGCTCTGTCAGTTTTGGGGGGATTTAAATATCCCCCCGATATTTTGGGGGTTTTTTTTAGATTTTTGTGCACACGTGGGGACTGCCCCACGTGTGCACAAACCTCTCCCTGCCCCCCAAGTGCCCCCGAAGTGCGGATTTATATATCCGCACAGAGGGGGCAACTTGGCTATTAGATATATAGATAATTCTAGCTTACTCCAGGCTCATTCTTTCCTCAATGGGCTTGATTTTGAGTTACTGATGATGTTCAAACTGTCCTTCCAGACATAGACGAATGTGAGAATCCTGATGCCTGTAGCCAGATCTGCATTAACTACAAGGGAGACTATAAATGTGAATGCTACAAGGGTTATGAGATGGACACCTTGTCCAAAAACTGCAAAGCTGTAGGTAAGCAAATGCTCAGATCCTCATCTGCCATGTCTTAGAACACCAAGACCAGCTTTTGAACTGAAAGACCGGGGAAAGAGAAACCAAAGAAAAATTGGAAGCTGAAAAACTTCTTCTTTTGCAGCTGCATTGCTGGGATCTAAGCAAAGCAGTTTTCATTGTTATTATAGTTACCCATCAGCTTCCTGAAAATCAGATCAGAAAGCAAAATATATTGACTCAGGTTAGTTAAAAAAAGAAGCACACACAAAGCTGCAACCTGGGTTAGTCTTCTGCAGCTCTCTTGCAGATACCAAATTGGCAGCTTTGTCTAGAGATACAAATGGCTCAGTTTATGCTGTTTAACATGTATTTGCATTGTGTGAGTCACTTATCAGTGTACATACACCAGAAAATATAACTGTTAACCTGTGAACTTTCCCTGCAGACAGACATACTGGGTTTAGAATTCCAGTGTGGGTATTCTTGTCATGCCATTTCCCATGCTTTCTTGGCTCCCCACCTTTCGATTATATCTGAGGTGAGGTGCAAGTCACCTGCTATAGGAGAATTTTTATTTCTAATACATAACTTGACTCTGTTAATCTGTGCAACCATCAGGGCTGTTTGTGTCTTTTAGAGGCTGCAGACACCCAAACACTCCACATGTTCCCAGTGCACATCTGTAATCTATATGGAAAGAACATCTCCCTGTGATACCTTCAGTACCTGGGTAGAATGAGGATTGATTAACTCTCTTTCTAGCTTCTTACTGGAGTCATAAGGAAAATGTAACATGCAAAGCAATGTTATCTGAATCTCACATGTAGCTTTCTGCATGGGTTTTAATATGTGGATTTCACTGCAAGAGATATTGATGTGTTTGTGTGAACATCAAAAAATGTTCACACTGTACCCATGTGTGAATGATTCCTCCATCTGCCAAGTTCAGAAAAAAGGTGATGGGTAGCTTTTTGCTCAGCTGATGCAAATACAACTTAGAAATGCTGGTGAGAACAGCTGCAAGCCCTTCCTGTTCTTGCAGACAAATTCAGTGAATCTGAAAGCTTTTATTCTCTCCCAGCCGGGGCATGCTCTTAAAATGAAGCTGCTGGATCTGAGAGCTGTGCTATTCTGTAAAGTCCTGAGAAAGAAAGTTGAGGTGACTTTCAGGGTTTTGTTTTGTGGCAGGGAAGAGCCCATACTTGGTTTTCACAAACCGTCATGAAGTACGCAAGATCGACTTGGTGAAAAGGGACTACTCCCGCGTCATCCCTATGCTGAAGAACGTTGTCGCTTTGGACGTGGAGGTGGCAACAAATAGGATATTCTGGTGTGATTTATTCTATAGGAAGATCTACAGGTGCGAAGATGTCACTCAGCTATCCTTAGGCATGCTTCATTTTATGTACTGCTAATGTTGTGACCTCTCATAAAAATACTGCTGTATTATCAGACTGAGTGCAAGAATCTTTAAGAGACCTGCCCCTCTGTGAATTTGTGTAATTCAAGAGTCACTGAAGGTAGTGGCCATCGCCACACATTATAGTGACTTAATTGCAATCTGTCAGTATCCGTTTCTTTGCTTCTTCAGTGCAAGAATGCAAATACTGAAAGTATTCATCTGTGTGCCCCTGGGGCACAGTGCTCAGATTAGTGTTCTGAGGCGGCATCTACTTGCACAGTGAAATCTCATCTGGTTGTTACAGCAAAGTCAGTCTTGTGCACTGGAATTTGAATTGCACTTGTCCCCCCATTACAGTCATGTGCATTTGACCCAAACATTTACAGTGGAAGTGTCTACTTAAACAAAATATTTCCAAGGTGAATATATGACTGACTGGTGATGATAAGAGATCAGATGTTCCATCTTCAACTAACTGCTGCTAAAGCATGGCTTGGATCCTGTGATGCACAAGTGGAAACATAAACAGACTTAGTGCAGTCCCAGTTGTGCAAGATCTTGTGCAACACCTAGTACTTCCCTCCCTATATGTTATAGTGCTCAGAAACTGGTTGCACACGATCTTAGTCACACAGAATGCAAGTGGGGATACAGGAAGTTTGACTTGGCCCCATTAGTGGACCTCCTGATGGCACCTGGTATTTTTGGCCACTGTGTGACAGAGTGTTAGCCTGATTCAACATTGGCTTCTCTTATGTTCACATGGCTACCACAGTCTTTTCCTTGCATTTCTGCTTGTGCAAGAGCTACAGTGTATGATCCTTGCAAGTAGAAATTTTGAGGAGGATCAAAATCTGTATGTGGATAAATATCCTTCACCTGGGATCTTATGGTAGTTGCCCTTAAAAGAACCTACTTGGTATTTCTTACCCTCACTAACTAGTTCAGCCTTCATGGTTAAAAAGTTGCTTGTGCTTCTTATTTATTTTTGTTTTTGCAGCCTTGCATATCCTGTGATAGGGCCTGTGATCAGGGGGTGGGATATGAATACAGAATGTGTGCAAGTTATTCAAAAATGCAAAAACAAACAGGCAGTGTATGATCCTTGCAAGAGATATTCAGTATTCCTTGCAGTACAGATGCATAATGGCAACCAAGCCATATGCATACAGAACAGCCCAACTCATTCCACATGTGTGCAAATAATAATGCTAGCAGCACACTTCATATTCTTAGCCACTGCACTTATACTAGCATGGAAGGTCTTTGTGTCCACCAGAAAGAGAAGGGTGCCACCTACTGTATTCTCTGGAAGCCAAATGGCATATCAACAGAATCCAAGTTAGGACTGTGACAGATCATAACAACAAGGGGGACAGAGCCTGCATCCTCTTCCTGCCTAACAGCCAGTGTCAGTCACTGGTCCAGGAGCCAAAATGATTTTCTGTGGTTCCCTGTCAAGGCAGCCAGCTTGGAAAAGAAAATTAGTGCAGAAAATAGAGTCCCTCCAACCCATCAGAAAAGGGCAGGTGAGCCAAGCCTGACACCACCATTATATTTGCTGTGACCTTTCCTAACCCCCTAAAGAACATAGCCAACATATGCTACTCTGTTCCTTAAGCAGCCTAAGGGAAGGGTGCCTCCTGTGGCAAGCAGGTTGACTGGTGGCTAGCTGCAATGACATTCTCCTCAGTAATGTGACGAGCAACTTTCTTCACAGTGGCAGGGGAAGAAATGACAGCCTTTCAAATGTATACATAGTTCATTAAGAATTAAAGGGCTGGTGAGTGGTTTCTGACAAACAGCTCTCCCCTCCTCCCCCATCATCACTCTGCTTGAGGAGCATTTGCTTCTGCTACCCTGAGCTTTTGGCAATAAGAAAAGAGAGCAGAGAACGATTGTTTTAGTGGAGTTGTCATTTCTTCCTTCCACCTAAACCATCCTTCCCCAGTAAAATGTTTTTGTTTTGTTTTTAGGAATGGGGGAACATTTAATATTTTATTTATCATATGATAGAATTAGACAGAGGAAACATATAATAATATAAAATATGTAACCAAAAGGACGAATAGACCCATAGAAACAATTGTTCATAAAGAGCTATGCCCCCTTCACACAGTAACACATACTAAAGCAAATTTACATAATTGGTATATTTACATGATAGTGTTAACTGCAGAATTTGGCTTTGCATGCAGAATTTTAATTGAGGCTGTAGAATTTTCCTGTTAGGATACCAATGCTGCAACTTCATGCAATTTCCTTTCTTTTTCATCCTTTCCCCGCCACCCTTCCAGTATCAGCACCACCACTACTACTTTTCCCTCTTCATAAACGGTGTCAATTTTGGTCTCCACAGTGCCTACATAGACAAAGCCAGTGACACGGCAGAGCATGTGGTGCTAATAGACAGTCAACTGAATTCTCCTGAAGGCCTGGCAATAGATTGGGTTCACAAGAACATCTACTGGACGGATTCAGGAAACAAGACCGTTTCTGTAGCCACGGCTGATGGTACTAAGAGAAGGACACTTTTCAGTACTAATTTAAGTGAGCCCAGAGCCATTGCAGTGGATCCAATACAGGGGTAAGGTGTGAAAGAGAGGGCAAGATGTTCTATTTTGCCACAGTGTATTGCACAACAGGGCGTGTGGCTGTGACAATCAGTGTGTTATGATATATGAAAACTCAGTTGGCAAGAGATTGAGAATTTCAGTATTAGTGAGACTCGTAACTGACCTGTACATTGCTCCTTGATTCATCTAGGGCTGTTAGGAAGTTGGAATATGGAGGCCCTCCCCTCAAATCAGGAAGCTGGCTCGGATGTCCTCTGTGCCTTTCATAGTTTGTAGCTTTAGAAGACTCAGATTGATTCAGTATGATTCCATTTTGTGAATTCACAAGCTCTGCTCTGGTCCTACTGGAACTGAAGAGCTTTGTACCATGTACATTTCCCTCTGTGTGCTTTCATACTGAATCAAGTTCAGAGTCTTATGATTGTCACACAGCTGCAGCACTTGATTGTGGTGTTGGGCACCCTTTGGTAATTTTGCTGTTCTATGACTGAGCAAGAGAACATAGTTCATGAGAAGCACCTTATGAATGTAGGTCTGGTCTCAACCAAATTAATACATACTCCTTTACAGAATTCAGTTATCTGGATGTGGGTGAAATGGGATTAAGGTTGTTTAAAGAAGCAGCAACCACAGACAGAGAATGGTAGAACTGCATCTTTTGATTTAAGACTTCCCATCTCTTACAGATTCATATATTGGTCTGACTGGGGTGACATAGCAAAAATTGAAAAATCTGGCTTGAATGGTGTGGATCGGCAAGTGCTTGTAAAAGAAAACATTGAGTGGCCCAATGGCATCACCTTAGGTAAGCAGCCAAACTGGAATCAGGTCATCACGAACCCCAAGTCTTAGTTTGTACAGTTAACTAAGGAAGAGGAAAATAACCATACATGTCTAAGAGGATTTTCTCTTAACTGTGGCTGGTCCTTTCAATCAATACAAATGTTTGCAGATGGTGTATATCCTCCTGAGGTTCTTCTGCTGGCTCAGTACTTTTCACTCCATAACATTTTGATAACACTAAAGTAGGCAATGTGCAGGAGATGTATAAATTGCAACCCAGTTTCTGTTAGTTTGTACAGAACAGCTTCACTGAAGGGCTGGAATAAAGAGCAGGGAAGAGGTTTGCTCAAATCCCTCTTCTCCTCTCCATCTTTTCTTCCAGCTACATGGGGAAATATGCAGGACCCTAATTAAATAAAAATAAATAAAATAAATGGGTAGAGGAGCTGCATGGGTGCTCCTGCACATAAGACCATGTCTAAGACCACCCACTCCCTGCAGAAAAGGGACCCATCCGGTATACCCCCATGCATTATATATTTATAAAAGGTGTATACAGAGGTCATTTCGGGGAGGAACACAGGGGATCGCAGTTCCCCCGGGTGAGGTACGGGGGGGCGCATGACGAAGCCCCGCCCCCTGCTTCCGGCCGCCCTGCTTCCGGCCCTCATTTAGCCAGGAGTAGGCAGGAGAAGAGGGAGGGTAAGTTGCTTCCTCCCTGCCTCTCCCCACCCCTGCCTGCCTGGGGCCAGGGAGGGCCTTCGCGGGGCTTCCTTGCACTCCCGCCGGCCTTGCAGGTCCACCGCCGGGCCCCTCATGGGGCTCGGCAGTGGAGCTGCAAGGCCGCCACCGGCGGCCAGGACCGTTGGGGGCGGGGTGTGTGGCCTTATGACACACTTCCGGTGATGTCAGGTGGTGTGGCCTTATGACACACTTCCGGTGATGTCAGGGTGTGTGGCATATGCTAATGAGTTATGCTAATGAGTTCCCTTAGCTCTTTTTCTACGAAATGACCCCTGGGTGTATATCTCAGGTTGCTGAAGAAGCAATAGTAACTACAATAATAACTAGGAAGATCAAATGCATATGGCTATATTTCACCTTGACTTTTTTGCTTCTCAGATTTGTTGAATCAGCGTCTCTACTGGGTAGACTCCAAGTTACACTTACTTTCAAGTGTAGATTTCAATGGCAGCAACAGGAAAGTCCTCATCTCTTCTGCAAACTACTTGAGCCATCCCTTTGGACTAGCAGTATTTGAGGTATGAGACTAGGGGGGCGACTAATCCTAGCTAGAACCTGAATACTAGCTACAACCTTATTCAAGGAACTATTGAGAAGCGGGTCTGGAACTGAATGAAGAGCTACCGATATTGAACATTAACAGCAAATAGCCGGACAGTGTTAGAGTGGGAGATGCAATTGTCTAGGTATGTGTCATATTTGTGATTCAAGAAGTGGGATTGTGAGGTGGAGTACCTAGTTGGCTGTTCAAGATGCATGCAAATAGCAGGGCCAAAGCTTTTGTAAGGAATGGGAGAGTCAGAAATGGGCCTGATCAGAAGCAGTAACCTTGCTGGTAGGAAATGCCAAAGAGCAAAAAATGGAAGTCTGTTGAAAGTTAGAATTACGTAAATTAATTCAGTCAGTAAGTCAGTCAGTAATACCTTTTATTGGCATACTCAGACATAGTACAAAATAGGAACGTAAATTAATTATGTGGCGTTCTTAGATTGCACAATATATTTTGATTGCATAATTTGAGGAATTGTACCCTGAAACAGGCCAGAATAATCCTGATAAAGTCTCTCAGAAATTCAGTGGCTTGCTCTACATGAAAACTAATTTAATACAGGTCACACCTTTGGAAGGGAAGGAGGATTTAGCATATAATGGCATTTTCTCTAGGATGCTAGGGAGTGTTCCAGTTTCTAGTAAATCACTTCAGATCCTGTTCATAAATTATTGTGGTCACACAAGGCAGAGAAATGCAGTTTAGTTCCCTAATACTCTTTACAAAAAAGTGGGGAGCTTATATCTTTCTTACCTTTCACTTCCTCATAGTTCAGCTAAACATAACATTCTTAGGGCTGTCTCTTAATAAGCACCCTGAAAATGTTGTGCCAGAGAATGGTGGGCTTCCTGTTTATAATAGTATTATCACTCCTGTTTTTATTAAAGTACATTCCCTCCAGTTGTTGGCTTGCAGTTTAAAGGACTGTGGAGAAGGATGTATAGCTGGTCTTGGAAAAGGAGCACCTTCTCTGAGCCCATCTCCCCTCAGGATACTTTAAAGTGTGATGGCAACAAGAAGTGGTTTCAGAGAATGAGGCCAGTCCCACCCCTCAGCCCCAGGGGGTCCTTCTTAGCTCAGGCAAAGTGGCTGCAATGGCTGTCCTCAGAGGCAGCTGAATAGATCAGATGATCCACGAGGTGAAGTATCACCATCCAGAGAGGTGGTGGATTAGGACCAAGTAACTAAAATCTCAAAATGAGCCCACAATGCACTGAGCACCATTGATTTCAGTGGGCTTCACAATGCCTTGGAAATGTATATTTAGGATAGACCTGACAGAGCTTAATCATACTGTAGCCCACTTCCTTTGTATGTGAACAGGGCTCAGAATGAAGTGTTATGAGAACACCAAGGAGACTGATACACAGAGACACATATTTAAAATATTCAATCTGGTGCACAATGCAGTCTCTGTTTTTGCAGGACAGGGTATTCTGGACTGACCTTGAGAATGAGGCAATCTTCAGTGCCAACCGGTTGAATGGGCTGGACATCTCTATTTTAGCAGAGAATCTCAATAACCCACATGATATTGTAGTATTTCATGAATTGAAACAGCCAAAAGGTAAGGAATGCTTTGTATACAATAATGGACCAAAGTTTTATAACTGTAGTAGGTTATCAGAGGAAGATCCAGATCCACTATATAACATATTAACAGTACAATCCTAAACAGAATTACACCCTTCTAAGACTTCATTGGACTTAAAAGAGTGTAACTCTGCTTAAGGTTGTATTGCAAAACCCACGAGTGTCTGACTTTGGTATTCTGTTTGATTGATTGATTGATTTACAGAATTTATATTCCACGTTTCCCCCTCACAAGGGCCACCAAGTCAGCTAACCAGTTAAAACATACATGATAAAATAATTTGTAAACCATTAACATCACCGTCCACAACAGAGATCATTAAAACAAATTAAAAACAGAGTAAAATATGTACAGCATTAAAACATGCGTCAGAAAGGACAAATCAATGAGTGAATATCCACATGAAACAAAAAAGTCTTCACCCACTGGCAGAAGATGGCAACCGAAGTGGACAGAAAAATCTGTCTGAGAAGAGAGTTCCAGATCTTTGGTGCAATGACTGAGAAGACCTCTCCTGAATTGCCATTCACCTTTTTGAAATCTGGGAAGGGAGGTTTTGAGGAGAGGCACCAGCAGCTATGCTGCAAATTTTCTGCCTCTACCTCAAAAAACAGCCCCCCCCCCGAGCCCTAAATACCCCCGGATCAATTCTCCATTATAACCTATGGGGACCATTGACTATAACTGCCCCCATAGGGTATAAAGGAGCCAGGAAAAATCAAGTTTCCAGAATATTTACCGAATCAGAATACCACAATGGTATTAGGTTTCAGGAATATCAGAAAATGCCAATATTTTTCAGGTTCAATATACCCAAACCCAGAAAATACCATGGGGGTGTGTGTGTTTGTTTTTTGCACACCCCTAGTTAACATAATGGAAATAGCATTCTGTACCACTTGAAGTTTCTGAACAATTCTCCAGGATGGACCTTGTGCACTGCATTGTACTAACCTAATCTAGATGAACCCAGGACATGCATCACAGTGGCCAGATCTTTTTCTGCCCAGGAAAGGCCACAGCTGGCTAACCAGTCAAAACTGGCAAAAAGCACTCCTGACTACAAGCTGCCACCTACTTATCCAGCAGTAGGCCCGGGTCCAAAAGCATCTGCAGACTATGGACCTGTCCCTTCAAGGGGAGTGCAACCCATCCAGAACAGTGGCACCACTGACCAGCAGCAGCTTCAGTTTATCAGTCCACATTTTTATCCTGCCCACTTTCCAAGGAGCTCAAAAGCTCCCCTTCCACAGGTTATTCAGAGGTTGATTTGGTTGAGAGAGAGAGCTTGGCCCACGGTCACCCAGTAAGCTTCGTAGCTGAGTGAGGATCTGAACTTGAGTTTCTCAAGCATTACACTACAGTGAATCGCTAATGGTTTTGTCTCTCATTAGGGCCAGAAAATTAGCGCTTACAAATTCCCACACACAAAAAAAAACATAAAAGAAAGAGGATTAAAACAGAGCCCTTTTACACCGATGGTAGCTGGGACAGACTGACAGATTTAGTATTACTGCTGTACTTCTTCTGTTGTATATTTTCTCTAAGAGCTATACAGCTAGATGAATAAAAAAGGAGTTCTTATGCCTTGATCCTAAAGACATTTTTCTTGGAAGTGAGTCCTATGAAGTCATTTGGGTTTCATCAGCCCAAGCACTAAAATAATTAATTACATGTGCAGTGGTACATGCAGTGCATAGGAAAGTCATCATGTGTGAAACACCCTTACTTTCAAATAAAGTAAAGGTAAAGGTTCCCTTGCTCGAAAGTCAGTTGAGTCCGACTGTAGGGTTGCGGTGCTCATCTCCGTTTCAAAGCCGAAGAGCCAGCGCTGTCTGAAGACGTTTCTGTGGTCATGTGGCCGGCATGACTAAACATCAAGGTGTACGGAACGCTGTTACCTTCCCACCGAAGTGGTACCTATTTATCTGCTTGCAATTTCTCGCTTTCGAACTGCTAGGTTGGCAGGAGCTGGAACTAGAGACGGGAGCTCACTCCGTCATGTGGCAAGTTGGGTCTCGAACTGCTGAACTACTGACCTTCCACAGCCTGCAGTTCAGCATCTTAACCACTTGAACCACCGCAGCTCCAAATAAGCGTGCTTAAATTAGAAACTAATTTCTGACAGTATATATACCTCATAATAATCTTCATGTTGCCACCCGTTTACCTGGTAATATGCAACCATGAAATGACTCAAGATTATAATGGTTCTAAAAGAGGAGAAATCCTCAAAACTCTATGAGATAAACTTAAAATGAATTATGATCAAGAGCATCAAATACATCGTTATATATTGTTGTTGTTATTTACCCCCCTTCATATAGCTCCGGACTCCTGTGAGCTCAGTTTTCTACCGAATGGAGGCTGTGAATACCTTTGTCTTCCTGCACCTCAGATCTCTCCACATTCCCCAAAGTATACATGTGCCTGCCCTGACAATATGTGGCTGGGTCCTGACATGAAAAAGTGCTACAAAGGTAAAGACAACTTTTACACTGTGGAGTTCCCTGTAACCTACTCCTGCTTCCCCTGGAAATACCATTACCACTGCCATTTAGAATATTATGAATAAATATTCAGTAGTATAGTAATTTCTAATGTTATACAGAAACACTGCCAGCGCACAAGTTACTTTCCCATTCTCTGTTCAGACCATTTACATGCACGGCAAAGAGGGAACTCACACATTTCACTCCACTGCCAAAGTACATCCTAAGCCCATTGTCACGCACGGCAAAGAGGGAACTCACACATTTCAGTACTTCCTAAGCCCACTGTCAGTCAACTTCATTGATTAGCCTGATTTTTTGCATTTTCTGAGGAGGGATGGGGGAGAGAAAATATTTTTCTATTTGTTCTTTCTGCCATTGTTGAGGGCACCACAAAATTTTCACACGTCCCCTCAAATATTTTCTAATCCAAAAGCCCTACCTGTTCTGGTCTTCCTTCATAAACTTGAAGATTTTCTTGATGATGATTTTGGTAGTTGATCTTTCCCTGTAGTTTCTTAAAATGTGTGTATCCTTAAAGAGATGTGTTGGCTTAGGTTACTCACAATATTCTTCAATGTGGAGTACTTTCATTATCCCTCCTTATCTGAACTTATTGTTGTCTCATACAGTTTTGATAGTCCCTTGGCTTCTCTGGTAAATGAAACTGTACTTGTCTTGAGTATCTCCTGAGGTGACGGTTGTACTGATTGTGTTTTTAGAGCTTCCAACTACCTCAGCTACTGTGCCAGTTTCTACTCCAACTCACTTCCCCACTGTTACCAACCTTACAACTGCTTTTATGACTACCACTACTACCACCATTGTTACAACCAGCAACACCAGTAACGTGAGCACAGAAAGCCAAGAATCACGCATCTTTGTGGACACTACAAGTTTTCATTCACCCACAACCACAACCAGCCTGACAAAGCCTAAGATGACAACAACAGGAAACAGTAATCTCTCCCAACACTGTAAGTAAAGGGGGCTTAAATCACTTTTCTTTCTGTTCCTCAAAGGATGGTAATGATGCTGTCTCTCTGAGATAGCAGTATACATTTCTGCCTTTCAACACCATTTGCATCTTCTGATGCAGGCCACTCAGGGCTTTTCCACATTCTCATTTTCCTTGCTTGTAAGTTCCAGTTGCTTCAGGGGGCCGGATGTTTGTTTGTGTGTGTGTGTGTGTTCTGCACATGCTTTGCTTCCTCTAGTGGTCAATTTGATATTCCATTAGTTTATGTCTGGCATCTCTCCCTGCAGATTTAAACTTCAAGTTTGTAAGTGATAGAGGAAGGAAAAATGGTATTCCAAATCAGGAATAAGGAAGAGCTTGAACAAAGCAGGATAAAACAAACCGACAACATTGCAAGTCCCAGGAAAAAAAATACATCTAGAGTCAGTCAACATGTGGAAGGGTGATCCGTGTTTGGCATGGTTGAATATATATTGTTTTAGTTCATATTATGCCTGTGAGTCATGAGCAGGCCACCAGCTGTTCATGGAACATCTATATTCAAATGCATCTGTATACATGATTGACGGTTTTCTTGGACAATTAGACCAGAGGTATCAAAATCATTTGTTACAAGGGCTGGATCTGACATAAATGTCACTTTTTTGAGTCAGACTATATGTACCATAAAATGTAATGCCAGGTACCAGACATACAAAAAAGACAGCAACGGTAAGCTCCAAGTTGGTGTGTCTTCACTGCAAGGCCCCATGAGCTGGGTGTAGAAGAAAACCTGCATGGGTGGACTGGAGAGCCAGCGGTGCAGCACTGGGCAGACACTCCACACTGTCTGGATGGGGGGCCAAACCCCTTCCCCAGCCTGCTCCCACTCCCAATGCTATAAGCCCGAGCCCCAGGGTAAAATCGCAAAGTGGATGGGTGTTGTGAGCTCCCCCCTGCCCAAGAGACACCATGGAAGGGGACTGGGCAGACAAGTTGAACTAACCCCCACCTGCAGAAGAGGGGGCGGTGGCCCAGGCACAAAGCCACGTGCACAGCAGGACCCAGGCCAAGCAAAATCTGATAAGCTGGAGAGGCCCGTGCTGCAGCGGCTGCCTCCAGCCAAGACTGCCAGGTGATCCATGATGGGGCAATCCTGGGGGTTCAAGCCAGATATCGTCGATAAGCCGTGCCCACCCCATGCGACGGCAGCTGCTGAAGGCCACCGGAACATTTGATGCGGGAGTCAGCACCATGCATCACAAGGCTGTGCATGTGGCAGAGGCCCCTGACCACCCAGTGCTCACTGTAGCGGGAGATTGCCCCCCTTATGAGGCGCAGTGTGTGTGAAAGAGACTGCCGAAGAAGGCCCCTGTGCACCAAAGCACACCTGCTTTGTGTGTGGGGGGTGCAAATATGGTGTCAGCACTGGCTGCCAGTAGGTCGCAGCACTTCCTAAGCCCACTGTCACTCATCTGTGCCCCCCCATGCAAACACTGATCCCTACAGCCATCCAGGACAGCATTCCCGGAGCTGCAGGCTGAGTGGAGAGGCATGCAACCTGGCCTTGGGACCCTGTGCCAGCATGTGTGCGGCTGCAGCAGCTCCCCACTTACTGGTGAGGCTGCCACTGAAGCTAAGGGGATCTGACTGCCTGCTGTAGATTATGTTGTTCCACCATGCTGAAGCCACAATACGAGTGGCTCTGCCCACTCCCCCCTCCCCCAGCAGCCTCCTGTTCCCTCCATCACACCAGTTGCTTGTGGGCCGGGTAAGAGCCCTGAACAGGCCGGTTCCGGCCCCCAGGGCTTAAATTTGACACCCCTGGGCTAGAGAGATTCCATTCTCCCACACACCAGTACTATAACCACAAAATCAGCCCTGGGTCAGGAGCCATCTTTTGAGGTGACCTCCAGGCCATATGGTGTCTGAGATTGCAGAAGAGACTCCATGTTTGATATATTAAAGCTGAATAATTAAGATTATGCTCCAGGAAATCAGAGTACTAAACTCACGAGCAGTTAGCCAGGTTCCTCTGGGGTCCTAGACACTCCCCTGTCAATTGTTTTATTCTGTGGCTTCCCGGGGGCTCATCAAAATTCAGGGTTAACTATCAAGGTTTATAGACAAATAATGTGCCTCAAAGAACCATCCAGGAATCTCTTACAATACAGCCGTCCCTGGAGACCTCATCACGATGAATCCAGGACCATTAGCCACCTTCCAGCTTTTGTTAAACAAGCTTGTCACTCAGATAACTCAATTGTCACACCCAAGAGATCCAATCACCCCCCTTCTCCATTGCTCATCAGAGTGAGACTACCCAAAAACTCCCCAGACAGAATTCTGGAAACTTGGCCTAGAGACAGAATGCCACCAGTAGCATTTGGCCCAAATACTAAATACCCAAGGGGAAAATAGAATAACAATAGCATCCCAGCAATGGAGAAATTAGGATCAATCTGATCCTCAAGGATTGCTCCTCTACCATTGAAACACTGGAGAGACACACACACACCCAATATTCTACTGGGACCCCATTCCCCCACCTCACTATGGAAGTTCTTCAACCACATTAAGACTTATGGACCAGGCAGGGATAAAGGCTTCATGTTACAAAACAGGTTGCCAGACATTCCCTCCCTCCTTCAGAAACAAAGTAAAATTTAATTGTGTTCTTTCCCTTTCATTAGTAACCCATATTCTCTCCAATGGGGAGAGAAATGTAAGCCAAGACAGCTTACATTATTAATTTTATTTTATTTAAAACATTTATTAACCACCTTTCTAGCTTGCAGAACTCAAGATGGCTTACAATATAACAATTATAAAACACATAAACGATGACAGTTTAAAATCTCCAATGAGGACTGCCAATTAAAAAAAAACTAAATTAGTCAAATGTAGTCCTAAATAAAACTGTCTTCAGCTGCCTCTTAAATATCATAAGTGAGGGAGCCAGGTGCACCTCCTTCGGGAGGTTGTTCCATAATTTGGGGCTGCCACAGAAAAGGCTCTTCTTTCATGTGCCCACCAGATGAGCTTCTTTGATGGGTGGGATAGTCAGGAGGGCCTCTCCCTGTGATCTCAATTCCCAGGCAGGAATGTATGGGAGAAGACAGTCCTTCACAAATTCCAGTCCCAAGCCATGTAGGGCTTTAAGGGACAAAACCAACACTCTGAATTGGGTTTTGGCATGGATTGGTAGCCAGTGTAATTGCTGTAGTATCATATGCTCCTGATAGTTAGCCCCAACCAGCAGTCTAGCCACAGCATTCTTCACTAGCTGCAGTTTCTGAATAATCTTCATGGATGGCCTCAAATAGAGTGTGTTGCAGTAGTCCAGTCTAGATGTAACTAAGGCATGAATCACTGTAGCTAGATATGGCTAACCCAGGAAGGGACACAGTTGACACACCAGCCAAAGCTCAGCGAAGCACTCAAGTCACTGCAGCCCCTTGGTTTTCTAAGGTAACCACTGTGTCAGGCAGCACTCCCAAACTGTGAACCTGGCTTTTCAAGGGAGTATAACCCCATCCAAGACAGGAGAGTTCTCCAATCCCTGATCGGCTGTTCTACTAACCCAAAGAACCTCTGTCTTGTGAGGATTAAGTGTCAGCTTGTTCACCCTCATCCAGCCCATTACTGACTCCAGGACATCAACAGCATCCTTGGAATTAGGTGGAAAAGGATGGAAGAGCTAGGTATCATCTGCATATTGGTGACATTGCAGACCATACCTCCTGATGACCTGTCCCAGTAGCTTCATATAGATATTAAACAGCATGAAGAATAAGATGGAACCCTGTGGAACCCCACAGGCCAATGGCCATGGGTCAGAGCTGGAATTTCCCCAACCATGTGTTCTGAGATCAGCCCCACAGAAAAGACATTGTACATCTCTCCTCCATTTTTTTCCTAAAAAAACCCAGTGAAGTAGATTAGACAAAGTGTGTATGAGTGGTTCAAGGTTACCCGTGGCTAGGGATGCTCTGGGTAGGGCATCTCTCCTCCATTTTTTTCCTAAAAAAAAAACCCCAGTGAAGTAGATTAGACCAAGTGTGTTCAAGGTTAGATTAGACCAAGTGTGTTCAAGTAGATTAGACCAAGTGGTTCAAGGTTACCCATGGCTAGGGATGCTGTGGATAGGGGTTTTGATGGGGTATAATGCCACAGAGTCCACCCCTATAAAACAGCCATTTTCTCCAGGTGAACTGATCTCTATCACCTGGAGATTAGGTGTAATCCCAGGAGATCTCCAGCTACCATCTGGAAGTTGGCAACCATACGCATGGCAGAGTTGGGGCTTCAAACCTACAGATGTCTTACTCCAACATTCTAACCAATACACCACATCAGATCTCACTCTGCATCTGTCAGCTTGATCAGAACCATAGGGAGTACCACTGTCACTGTTTGTGCAATAGTAGAAAGTGATTTGTTTATAGTTTATTTACAAAATGTATAGCCCATCTTACTGCCCTCATCAGTGCAACCAAGGCAGCTAACAAATTAAAAACATACATAACATACATTAAAAACCATTAAAAGCAAATAAAAACACATAATTAAAACAATTAAAACCAAAGCCAAAAACACAACAGCTTGAAAACAGCAATTGAAACATAGGGCAGGAAAGAGGAATCACTAATGAAATTAAGAAGTCTTCACCCATTGATGGGAAATGGCAACCAAAGGGTACAGGCAAGTCTTTCCAGGGAGAGCGTTCCAGAGTGTTAGCGTCATAACTGAAATGGCCCTTTGCCAGGTGGCTGCCTACCTAATATCAAAAGGGTGTCCGAATGTAGGGCCTTGGAAGATGAGCATAACGTTGGGTAGAATTGTAAAGGGTAAGCAGTCCTTCAGGTATGTTTGTCCCAAGCCATATAGGGCTTTATAGGTCAACACCAACACTTTGAATTGTGTCTGGAAACAGACTCAAAGCCAATGTAGATGAGCCAAGACTGGAGTAATATGGCCCCGACGACTCACTCCACTCAACATCCTGGCCGCAACATTCTGCACCTACTGAAGTTTCCAAACATTTCTCAAGGGCAGCCCCATGTAGAGTGCATTACAGTAAGTTAATCTAGATGTCACCAGGGCATGCACCACAGTGGCCAGATCTTTTCTGCCAAGAAAGACCACAGCTGGCTAACCAGTCAGAACTGGCAAAAAGCATTTCTGGCCACACCTGCCACATGCTTATCCAGCAGTAGGCCTGGATCCAAGAGCACCCCTGGACTATGGACCTTTCCCTTCAAGGGGAGTGCAACTTTAGGTGGCACCTAAAGGCCTGGATCAGACTCTCCACTGAACAGCAGCACTTCCTTCTTGTCAGCATTAAGCTTCAGTTTATCAGCCCACATCCACTCCAAAACGACTGCCATTCTCCAGTTCAAGGTTTCTACAGCCTCCCTGGGATTGGCTGGAAGCACACAATAGAGCTGAGTGTCATTTGCATACTAGTGTTAACCAACCTAGATCTCTGGCTGTTCTATGGTATCAAAAGCCTCCAAGAGGTCCAGGAGAATCAACAGAGTCATGCTTACTCTGTCCATCTCCCGACATACATCATGGTGACCAAAGCTTTTTCAGTCCCAGAACCCAGCCTGAAACCAGACTGCGTATGGCCACAGCACCTTCAGTCTTCAATTCCACAGAATGTATGAGTTGCATGATTTTTTAAATGCAAGACTGAGTTTCCTGCTTGGTGTAGCCTTGAGCCCAAATACTGCAATTTATGCTCCATATTTGTTCTACCAGAACAGATTTGTTTCAAGGACTCAAGCCAGCAGGCACCCTTATTTAGGACATCAAATATTAATAAATTTCCATGCCATCAGGGTTCACCTACCTCACAAGGTGGCTGTTGCGGGGAAAGGAAGGGAAGGTGATTGTAAGCCACTTTGAGACTCCTTAGGGTAGAGAAAAGCAGGGTATAAAAACAAATCTAATGTTTTTAAGGTCTTTCTTGTGTACAGTGGTAGTTTTGAAGACGGAGGCATTGGAGATTTATTGCATGTGTATGACTAGAGGCCTGTGTTTCTCATGTCTGAGCAGGGGCTGCCATTTGCCTTTCTCCTGACATTCTGTAAGGATGCCTCAGGTGTGCTCCTGTATATACTGTCATGTGTGAAAACAAATGAGTGCTTCTTGCCATGACTTTCTTTGTGCCAAAAGCAACTGAATTCTGTAGACTCCAGGGCTTCTCCTGACACAGTTTGTGTGTTGCTCTTTTACTGAATCTGAGTTGTTTTTCTTTGTTGCAGATGCTAATGATGGACAAGGTTTTGGATCAACAGTTATGGCCGCCATTATTGGAATTGTTGTTCCTGTTGGTAAGCATGTTTCTACTTGATTTAGAAGGTGAATTTTTGAGGTCAGCTCTGGAAGTCTGACATGGTATAAGAGGATCCAGAGACCTGTCTGGAGAGCCAGCTTGAGAACTACAGCCATCCCCACTCATCCCCAAAGCAACTAGAAATGTTTATTTCTCCCGTTTCTTTGTTCTAGTGGTGATTGGTTTGTTGTGCATGGGAGGATACCTCATCTGGAGAAACTGGAAACGGAAAAACACAAAAAGCATGAACTTTGATAACCCTGTGTACAGGAAAACTACGGAAGAGGAAGATGAAGATGAAATCCATATTGGGAGAACAGCGCAGATTGGACATGTATACCCAGCAGTAAGCTTCTGATTGATCTTTCTGACAAATTTTCCAGAATTAGTCATAGAGTTCTAAAGTTTTAAGGTGCCATGTAGCCCAACCCTGTGCTCAGTGTAACGGAACTGCAGTTGGGCACAAACACACTGCGTGTTGCCGCTCTTACATGTTGCCTTTACTCCTCCCACCTCCCTCCTACTTTCATGCATACAACTTGATAAAACATTTCACAGTTTGATCTGGATCCAGTTTGCCAGTATGCCCAAATCCAGGCACCTCAGCAAACTGAACATTATTCCCCACAAACCAGGATTCTATACTCGGTTAAATCCTAGGATAGAATACAAGCTTCTGGGGACTAACCAAACGCCACTTTTGCCAAGGCACCTGCATGTGACCATCACAGAAAAAGGAAGCTTGATGAGTCTGGAAAGCTTTCGATCCCAGTCTGCACATGAGAAGATATAGGAGGAATGTGAGAAGCATGCAAACGCAGAAAACAAACTATGTTCATGGCCAGTGCTTAATTATAGCCTTTGATGTCCGGATGCAGTCATGAATGCAGCAAAATGTCAAAATGCAACATGGAATTTGTCCAGGCTAGCAGTTCCTCTTCACTGAAATATATGATAGTGAAGGAGACAGACTCACTGAATGGTTCACTTTTGGGACAATATTCAGCATTCTACAACACTCCAGTGTGACTTCAACATGGAACTCAGGACAGCCAGTGCAAACAAGTGCTGGCTCTATCATCATTTTCTTGTGAAGCTGACCATTATTAGGCCAGTGTCCAATAAACAGAGAATTGATTCCATGCATATAGGAATCCCATTTCCAAGATTCACTTCCTGTAACTCTTGGAACACAATGGCGCTTGGGGTACTGATGCTTTTCTCTCTTTCTTTCTCAACAGCGTGTAGCATTAAGTCTTGAAGACGATGGGCTGCCATGAGGACTGTATACCTACACCACCTCCTACACTGCTGGGGGACTCACAAATATGCACTGAACACACTTGCTGTGGATCACAAACCCATCTTTCTTTCATTTCCTTCTCCCCCCCCCCTTAATTTATGTTGCAAGGGGTAACCACAAAGTTGTAATAAACTGCAAACATCCAAAGGATGTGAGAGTTTTGTATGTATAATCTTTTATACACCTTTTAACTTCTTGCACTATCCATCTGTACTTGTGAGGAGGCTATTTTGCTGCTGAGCTACTAACTGTATATAACCAGCTGGACCCAAGGGTCAGTAGCTTGCACGTCATTTTTAAAAGTTATATTTATAGAGGTTTTGTAAATATATCAAACATACTTTGTGGCTATCCATCAACATGAGAAAAAGAGGTCTATAAATTTGTTTAGGATATTTATTAACAAATTCTGGATATAAGATTTCTTCTGTATATATACTTAGAGGGTGAGAGTATTTATTTTTTGTATGTTTGCCTTGCTGTGCATAGATTATCTGTGTATATATCTATCAATATATGGATATATTTTACAAAGACTAGCCCAGATTTATGGGAAGTAGAGTAATTGAATTCTTAAGGGATGTTTTGTGGAAATTTTGCTTTGAAGTCTAAAGCCGCTAAGAATTACAGCTGTTACAGTAGGATAGTCAATGACTATCTAAGAAACAAAGTGCTCACATAACACACAAACCAAATTTTGTCCCAGAAGAAGAATCCAGTAAATCTCATGTACAGATTAAACTAGTGTGCAGAATTCCCCATTCACTTCAATGGAAATAGCAGTTGTGTGCAAGAGATACATAGGCAGAGTTCTGGATCCGTGACACATCTCCACGGTCCCAAACTATTACTTCAGAATGTTCAGACATAAATTAGCAAGCTTGTTTTGCAATCCTAAACACTTCTCAAGAAGAGACCCATAGAACTCAGTGGGACTTTCTCCTGTGTATACATGCTTAAGAGTAGAAAAGATTTCTAGTCTTACTGGCGTTTGGATAGCGTAAAGGATTTGTGAATCAGTTTGTTCCTTTATGCTTTGAAGAGATCAAGGCACCAAAAGAAGTGTTTACAAACTGCAACCCAGTTTCCCCCAGAGCTTTTCAAGTGATAACTAAGGATCACCATCAGTGATTCTAGCTTTAATCATTTGAACAAAAAATGTAATTGGCAGCAGTCTTGCTCCATATATATAAAAAGAAAAAGTTTTCTTCTCTGTAGTCACACGAGATAAAGGTCACAACTAATCTTTAATACATTTTTACTTCAGTGACAGCCTCTATTCTGCCTGTATTCTTTGGCTAATTCAAATTAATGGAGTGTTTAAGTTGAAGTCACCACCAGCCAGTGGAGCCACACTAAATTTGGATTTTGCTGATGATTAACACGGCTAATCTGGCTATACCCAAAAAACTGGGCACCAGAATGCAAGCGACCCTTGTATTGTCTTCTCTTTGAAATCAGATAATAGGCCTGGTGATTGGTTTATTTTTCATTCAAAAAGAAAACACTGGGACAGCCAATCACAGATCTCTTGCATAACACCTACCCCGGACACAATCCAGATCTGGGTACATTGTTGCACTAGGGCGCTAAGGGCTAAATGACATGTTGCACAAGAGATCTCTGATTGGCTGTTATAGTGTGTGAGTGTGTGTTTTTAATGTTCATGGGCAGAGGACTGCTAGTTTGCTCAGAGCACTGGCATCTTCCCCACTTCAAGACAAACAGTAACTTGTGGGAGGGATTTTAACAGGAAAAATGACATGGGGAAAATACTTAAACATGGTTCATGGTTCAAACAAACTGCAAATGCTCACTGCATTTCAGTACAAGAAAACTTTGGAACGATGCAGTTCTGGCATCCACTGAGTTTCCAGTTATTTTGTACAATGAATCCATGAGCACAAGAATCAAAATAAATCTGCAGCTGAACCTTGGTTTATTTGTATTCAATAAATCTTTTCAAGCTAGATCATGGACTTTAAGGCTATCAGTGGTTGTAAATAAAAACTGCTTTTACACTGGAGTCAAAGTTTCTGTTGACAAATTAGAAAGCAGCATTCTGTATAGAACTGGTTTTTGAAAAATTTACACACAGTTTAATGTGTGAACTAGAGGAAGAGGTCTTGTCGTCATTGCTCTAGGGAATAAGCAATTCAGCAAACATCAAGTGATAAAAGTGGGTTGATGTGCATGTGTGAATCCGTCATTACAGATCAAGCCCAATAGAAGCGGCTTTGGTATTATTCCGTGCCATCACAAATAAAGCACCTTACACTGGAAGCAGTTCAAGGCATCAAGTGATCCCTAGGACTATAGTGATTTTTATTTCCCAGCCTCTGTGGGAGAAAACATCAAGAAAAAAACTGAAATGCTTGAAGGTTTGCATTCTTTCTTGCATTCTACTCTAAATTAATCACCTTTTAAGTGGTTATTTTAATTTATTTGTATGGGCTTAAGGCATTCTATCTTGTTTTCATGATAGTCTTGGCCTGCTTTTATATTGTTCTCTGCTGATGTGCTGTTGGCTTTATAGCTGCTCAACTGAGATGGTTTTTTATTGCTGGTTGAGTCAGTTTTAATTTGGTCAAGTGTTTTCAATGGATTATGTTAAGGTGGCATATAAAAGTTCTAAATAAATAAAAAATCAAAGGTGGCTATTTCCTAGTTTGGGATAAGGACCCAAGAGCTGTTTTAGGCATACATAAGAGCTTACATAGACAGCAGAATATCTTCTTGGTTTTTAGTAACAATAGTCCTCATTTTATGTCGCAACCCTCTTTCCTCCCCTCTCCCAGATTTCAAAAATTGACTTGTCAAGCAATAGAGGGAAGGGCGCTAGGAAAATTGGGAAAGCCTGCTGTTGCTTGTAAATGAAAATGCCCAAGTCCCTGCAATGGTGCCTTATAACAGCCAAGCAGTCATGCATATATATCACTTGGTTTCCAGCACTTGCTCTCATCCAGGGCTTTTTTTGTAGAAAAAGCCTAGCAGGAACTCATTAGCATAATTGGCCACACCCAACAGCAGAAACTCATTAGCATATTAGGCCACACCCCTGACAGCACAGGTCATTAGCATATGAGGCCACACTCCTGTGTTACCAGAAGTGTGGTCATCCAGCCACACCCACCTTTTGCTACTTATTCTTTTTACCTTCTTTGTTGTCAAAACCCAGGGCTTTTTTTGTAACAGGAACTCCTTTGCATGTTAGGCCACACACCCCATAATGTAGCCAATCCTAATGAGTTTCTGCTGTTGGGTGTGGCCTATTTTGCTAATGAGTTCCTGCTGGGCATGGCCAACTCAGGAGCCAGCCGGAACTCCGTTCCTGTGCGTTCCTGCCCAAAAATAGCCCAGCTCTCATCCAAATGTGTATGTGAACTGCCTCCATTGAAAAGTACTCTATTTGAGATGAAAGTTCTGTTTGGGGTCATTAATCTCTGGTGGTTCATTCACACAGTTTATCACTTGATGCTACCAGCCAGTGGCATATTTGTATATTTGAATTGGCTCTGTATCTCCTACTGAACATATTAAAAGTATGTACTGTAATTGGAAAGGATTCTGCCCCCACCTGTTTCTTATAATAGGCACTGAAAAATAAAGATTTCCTATTTCATTCAGATTTTGAGAACATTGGCCTATGAGTGAATAAATACTTTTGCTGGAGGAAGAAAGAAAGACATGCAGTTGCAATCACAATTTTTTAAGTGGCTCAGCTCGTTACTACAAGGTCATGCACTGTGTGTGTGTAGAAAAAAGGAGAACAAATCTTTGTATGTAATACCCCCTGTAACTAACCTCAATCTGTAAATAGGTTTGAAGGCTCGACAGTTTTGATACTTTTTTAAAAAATATATAATAAATTGTATACAAACCCTGTGTATAAAGAAGCTGAATTTGGGGGTTTTCACCCCCCCAAAATATTGTAAATTACTATGATGTGAAGTTTTCCTGCTTTCCAATTGAACAGATTTGTAACTAAATCAAGTCAATAACCAAATTTTGCTTTTGGAAAAAAACAGGACTATTTTTAGTATGTAATTGGGAACATTAAGACGTTGTTCAACACTGTAACCATTTCCAACCTCTGTCTTGTCATATTGAAGTTCTGTTTGGATGCGTTCTTGCTTGGTGCCTTTTGTGTTTCTGTTTTAAGCCTGAACAAAAGGTCTTGGGATGGGGGAGGGGCTCTGCTCTTTATAACATTTGCTGTACTTACATCAGTAGTAATACTGGAAACCAAATGAATACATTTGTAAGACAGTGCACTGTTTCTATAGAGAGATTAAATTTTTTATTGGTAACTGCAGTATGTTTTTGTTTTCATGGCACCTGTAGCCAAAACCTCCCAATGCAGAAGAATTACGAAAAAGCCTTCTAACTGAGCTGTGCAAATAAGCACACATTATTAATATGCACACATTTATTAGCCTGCCTCCAAACCTATATAAAAGGAGGAGGAGGAGGTTTTATACCTCGCCCTTCACTACCCTAAGGAGCCTCAGAGCGGCTTACAATCACCTTCCTCTCCCACAACAGACACTCTGTGAGGTAAGTGGGGCTGAGAGAGCTCTGAGAGAGCTGTGACTGACCCAAGGTCACCCAGCTGGCTTCATGTGGAGGAGTGAGGAAACAAACCCGGTTCTCCAGGTTAGAGTGCGCCGCTCTTAACCACTACACCAAACTGGCTCTTAGCCATATGTGATACATCAGAGCCCTGAAAGTTAAGCAACACTTGATTAAATTACAAACCTGACTAGATGTAATATTTATTGTGTGAATTAAGCATTCACATACCAGTTCTAATGATCTTCTAACATCAGATTTGTTAATTAAACTGGCTGTATTTCAACATTAATTTTAAGTGTCTCAGAAGGTCCTGTCTTCTGTGAAGGGTCTGTTAGCCTCTTCAAAAATTTTCTATGTTTACTATACAGAAATATTTAAATGCATTGGTCCCCCACAACAATAGGTTTCTTAAAATATATTGTTTACT